ATTTGTTGGTGAATAAATGCTGACTGGCCAGTAGACAGACAGGAAGTATAGGCAGGGCCACCAGACTAGGAATGCTGGGAAGGGAAAACAGGGAGAGTGTCTTGAGGGAGTAACATGCTAGAGCATTATGAGTAAGCCACAACCTCGTGGCTTTACATTGTTTAATAGAAACGGGTGAAATAATTAAGAGAGAGCTAGCCAATAAGAAGCCTTAGCCATTGGCCAAACAGTTTATAATTAATATACACCTCTGTGTGTTTATTTGGGACTAAATGACTGCAGGATAGGACAGGACAGAAGCTTCCACCATTAGTACATAGTTAGTGGTGATGTAAGAAGCATCTCTGGCTATGGGTTGCATTCTAAAAGCCTGAAAGTCACTAAGTCACTGAGATAAGCACCTCTCAACTTTTACAAAAAAAAAAAAAAAAAAAAACCCTTCTCCTCAACTTCAAACTCACCTCCAGCCACATTTTTCTACTCTCCCTGACATAGTAATAATTTGCCAAAGAGCTGTCTACATTTTAGTTGGAACCCTAGCCTTTAATGGCTGAGCCATCTTTCCAGGCCAAGCTGTCTACCTTTTTCTTTCTTTTTTTTCAAGACAGGGTTTCTCTGTGTAGCTATGTAGACCAGGCTGGCCTCAAACTCACAGAGATCTACCTGCCTCTGCCTCCTGAGTGCTGGGATTAAAGGCCTGCACCATTGCTGCCCAGCTTTTAGGGTCTTTTCTGTTCCTAATTACTGTCTGCTTTTTTAACGGTCTTACTTCTTCCAATTTGGTCTCAACCAAGTGAGTGCTTCTGACTCCTCTCCATAAAACCATTCTAGAAGAAAGCACACTGTCAAGGTTTGCTGATGCAAAGCTCAAAAATCTACACCCACCCCCCTCCCCACCCCCACCTTATCGCTTTTCACATGGTTTCCCAGCAACAGGTGGGGCACAATTCATGACTCCATCTGTCTACATATCCCAAAACTACATTTCCAGTGCTCCTTTTCCCTCAAGTATAAATGATGGCAGTTTTCTTTGTAGGTGGGCTCCTCTTCCCTATATTCTAAAACAGGGTATTTCAGAGTAAAGTACAGCTAAAGATTCCTGGAATTCTTCCTTCAAAGACTTTCCTTTTGGAGGCAGGTCCTGGAACATATACCAGGCTAGCTTCAAACACATAATCCCTTGCCTCAGCTTCCTGATTGCTACCATGCCTGGCTTAGGATATCATTTTTAAGTGAAAGCACAAAAAGTGTAGACAATCAATCTTGAATTCTAGTGCACATATTCTCAGAAATGGGTGACAGGACAGGACCGTCAAAAAAGATGAACACAAGTATTTTCTGACAGGAGAAAATTAGGACTTTAACATAAATATTATAATGTTAGGAAAGTTACATGTGACACTGTGAGTGTGACAGTTTCCTAATTCCTAACTCTTCTGACGGCTCACAACTGTCTGTAACCCTGTCCCAGGGCACCAGCCACCCTCTTCTGGCCTCTGCAGGACCAGGGCTGCACATGATGTACAAACATGCATATAGGCAAAACAGCCATGTACATAAAATAACAATTAAAATAAGACAAAAACATAAAGAGGATGTGGCAAAGCATATGTAGCCCGCAGAGCCTAAATTGCTTATTCCCTGGCTCTGAGGTGATGAGTTGGCTACTTTTATGTTAGTTAGAAACAAAACTAGAGTCATTTGGGAAGAGGGAATCGCAAGTGAGAACCGCCAGATTAGCTTGTGGGACATTTTCTTGATCAATGTCTAATGTGGGAGGGCCCAGCTCACTCAGGGTGGAAGACCCTGCCCCGATTTTCCTAGACCATAGACTACACACAGAAAGATGAAATAGACTCTCTCCTCCTCAGGTTGCTTTTGGTCATGGGATTTAGCACAGCAATAGAAGCCCTAACACTGGCAGGTGATTTGGCTTTGATTTTGAGGCATTATCTGGGGATTCTGCTTGATATGATCCCCATATTTTATGAGGCTTCCCTGCCTGATCTGATAAAGATGAAAGCACTCTTCTTGTGTGGACTCCAAAAGTTGTTCTGCCTTGTCTTTTCAGACAACCAGGAGTAACTAACTGGCTTCTTTCACAGATCTTTGGGGCTGTCTTCTCTCTACATTTGCTTTCTCACTGGTACTGTGTCACAAATTCTGCTACTTTGGCTGCCAAGAACTATGATGTCTGTCTCAGCTCACTGGTAACAACAGGTTTCACATCGTATTGCCTGAAAACTGCTACCAGACTACAGTGCTTTCCATCTTGTTTTCCCTCTCAGTCCTGTGCCACCTGTTTGCCAACATCTAAGACAAACATTAACATGTATTTCATCAGATAAATTTGGGGAGGGAGGAATGGAGGAAAGTCAGTCAAGTCCGTTACTCCATCTGCCTAAAAGTAGAACTGTACACTTATTTTGTACATTTTGGAGAGGGAGAAAATTGAATAGGGAGATAATTGGAGAGAGACAAAAGTTTGCTATACTACTGATCTGCCAAGATTTGAGGCCCACTCTACAGGAGGGTATCTGTGCCCATCACTGTAAGCTAGTGGCTGGAGAGTACATGGACCATGGCAAGGAAGCTGTTGCTGCTGTTTTGCCAAATGAACATGCTACAACCATCAAAATGCATTCTAAATATTTAAGTTCATGCTTGCTGCCAGTTTGGTGAGAGAAGCTACTCTCTGCAGTGGGTGGTAGTTATTGTAGAAACTCAGAATCAGCTCAAAGTATTGAGAGTGATTGTTCAATGAGCAGCTGTAAAAGAGACACCTACACCACTGGAAGGCTGTCTTCTGAACCTTACATAGGGCTTCACTCTTGAACTTACAGCAGCTACAATTATGGCACAATAGCAGCCCTGTCAACATTCTGACAGAGGGCTCATGAGCTCCCCCCCCTGAGAATCTTTAGGCAGTTATGGGTTTCATCAGTGGTATAAACAATGGTAAGGTGCCAGTGCTCCTGTAAATAACCATTCACCCACACTGCTGTGAACAATCCTAATTCAATTCAGTGAGTTACACGCACACAGACAAAAAGAAAATAGGTAGTTTATCTGATCAAATACATCACACACATGTACTCCACCAAGCACATACTGTAGCAACTTAGCAACTATATCTCCTGGGGGGAGGGAGTTTTGTGTCAGCTGACACAAGCTAGGGTCTTTTGGGAAGAGGAAACCTCAGTTGAGACAATGTCCCATCATTCTGACCTGTATGCAAGCCTGTGGGACATTTTCTTGATTAATAATTGATATGGGATGACCCAGTCCACTGTAGGCAGTGCCACCTATGGGCAGGTCCTGGGTTGCATAACCAACAGGCTGAACAAGCCTGTTCCTTCATGGAGTCTGCATCAGTTCCTGCCTCCAGGTTCTTGCTCTGACTTCCCTCCATGACAGATAGTACACTTTCCTCCCTGAGGGCTTTTGGTCATGGTGTGAATCACAACACAGAAATCAATCTGGGACGATGTGAGTGTTTCAGTCTCCTTCCCTGCTGCTGAACCTGCCTTCCAAAGTAAGAATGGAAGGAAGAAAGAAAACTTTATCTGAGCACAATGAAATCATACCATAACTGGAACACTAACCCAACCAACACTCATTCTGTGCTGCTTGCTGGCCCTTAACTGGTGTAGTGGCACACACTTACATACACAATTGGAAGGCTGAGGACAGTTTAGGCTACTGGGAAAGACCCAGACTCAATAAACAAAGAGAGACAGAGAAAGAGAGGAAGAGGGAGAAGGAGAGAGGAGAAGTGTGGGGAGAATGAGAAGGATAATCAGCCAGAACCAGGAAGAATAGGAATTTCAGTCCTCATTAAATTTGAGACTAGAGACTTAATTCTCCAGGAATGGTAGTCTACTGCATGCAAGGCCTTGAATTCAATCCTCAGTGCTTCAAAAATAAAACAAAATGAAAAATTAGAGGCAGTCAGATCTCTGTGCATTCAAAACCAGCCATCCAAGACTACACAGCAAGCTCCAGAACAATCAGGGATATACAGAGAGACCCTATAGATAGATAGATAGGTAGATAGATAGATAGATAGATAGATAGATAGATAGATAGATAGATAGGACAGGACAGACAGACAGACCAATCAGCTAAGTGAATAAGAAATAACAACTACCTAGTTAACAAAAACAGTAAGGTGGGATCTGGCAAAAGTTCATAAGCAGACCACTGTTGCTGGTGGTTCTTTCCTGCCAGCTTGGTCCTGCAACCACTGGCCACAAATAAACACATGGATGCTATATTAGTTATTAAACTGTTGGTCGATAACTAGGGCCTCTTATTGGCTACCTCTGTGATAATTATTAACCCAGTTCTATAAATCTATGTATTTTTCACGTGGTCTTGGCTTACCGGAGAATGCCCAGATCTGTTAGTTCTTTTGGCAACCTACATGGCAAATGTCTTTGGCGGGCTCTCTCTGCCTACCTTTCCCAGTATTCTCCTCATCCTAGTACCGCCTATATTCCTGCCTCATTGGCCAGGAATATAATCATCAACCAATAAGAGAAATATATATACAGAAGGACATCCACATCAGACCACTCACAGAAAATGATAAAGTGTGAGAGAATGCTAACAAGAGAAGGAAACCTATTTTTGACACAAATCTCAAGCCAAAGAAGTGCTGTACCTCCTTACAGTAAAACTATTATTACAAGCCTTAAGATTTGATGCAATCTTGAATGGTTCTATGTTCAACCCATCTTCTCACAGAATAGTTTCTTATAATGAATTCATATTGGCCAAGTGCTTGGTGATGATGAGTTCAAAGAAGAATGTTAGTCACAGATCTTAAAAAAAAAACAGGTACCACATACAAGGCTGAGCAGACACCCACTAAAGCCCAGTCTCTAAAGCAACATTAACACGATTATTTTGCACATTAATATCAAACATTTTTAATTACTTAAGATATAAAACAGCAACTTAAATTCTTTACAATAAGAACATGTTGCACAACTTACGATATTTACTGTGAATTTCATCTATTTCCTTCTCTGTTTGGTCCTTTGTAAAAACCATGACCTAAAATAATAATTAAAAAGTCTTTAGAATTATATACAAAATGACAAAAATGGAAATCAATGCACAAGTTTCAAGTTTCAAATGTGGTTGCTTAAAACAGAGCAAGACAATCTGCATGTTTCCTCCAAGTATCATAAACAGTATAGTCTTACTCATCACTTGTCTCTCATCAGCAGATTTTCATTTTTCATTAACAAAAAAGGAAAAGCAACTTTTCCCTCAAACTAAGTGGCATCCAAGAAGGAAATCTCGCCATGATAAAATACTGTTTTCTTCTTTAACAATGTCACAGTGAAATCTGAGGTTGTTTACATAATTTGTATATGTGCCCAAGTGTGTATGTGGTATATGTGCAAGTATGCATGGATATGCATGATTGTGCACACATGAAAACCATCTGCCTTATATTTTTTGAAACAGGGCCTCTCACTGAACCTAGGGCAAGGCTGATGAGCAGCAAGCCCTAACAATCCTCCTGTCCCCACTCCCACAGCAATGGAGTTACAGACATACACAGGCATGCCTGACTTTTTACATGAGTTGTAGAGATCTGAACTCAAGTTCTCATGCTTATACAACAACTGATCTCACCTGCTGAACCATCTACAGGCCTAGTTGTTTATATAATCTGACAAATGTGCATGTTACAGTAAGCAGTTTGGTAGTAGTTATGGATTTTGGCAAAGGTGAGATTCATTTGTGAAGAGATTTAAAGTTCTGGTTCCTTCCATAAATAGAAATATCCAAATAAAATGTGTAAAGTATCTGTATCCAACTCGAAGTAGTTGAGAAAAAAAATACCAAAAATAAAAACACATATAAACTTGTATCTAGAAGACAAACAAGGGAGGACAATTCTGTCAGGTAATAAACCTCTGACAGTAAAAGGTAGTACCATTTCTTCCACCTTTCTGCATATATAAGTTTTTCAAGTAAAATGTTAAGGGGAAATATTTGGTAAAGGAAGAGAGCCAGTACAAGGGATGGGGTAAATATGAGCAAGTACAATGGTATGAATGGATGAAAACACCATAAAGAAATCCACTGTTTTGTGGTTACTAAAAGCAATCAAAAATTAAAATATATTAAGAAAACAAAGACAAATTTCTAAGCCAGTCTGATTTTTTTAGTTATACATGTCATTTACTCTTTCTGGTTTGAAATTTGCATGAATCTCTTTCCTAATTTTTGTTCTGTTTTGTTTTTTGAGACAGAGTTTCTCTTTGTATAGTCCTGGCTGTCCTGGAACTCAACTATAGACCAGGCTGGCCTAGAACTCACAGAGATCCACCTGTTCCTGCCTCCTGAGTGCTGGAATTAAAGGTGTGTACCACCACCACCACCAGCTAGCCTCATTTCTAATTCTTGAAGTACATTTTGTCAATTAAAGTGTGTTTCTGTATTAAGAATATTACATTAGACACACAAAACCCATGAAAGCCAAAACATCCTGAGCTATAAAAGAACTGCTGAAGGTATCACCATCCCAGATTTCAAATTATATTATAGAGCTACAATCATTTAAAAAACATGATATTGATGTAAGAAGACATGTTTGTCAATGGAATAGAACTGAAGACCCAGACATAATTCCACACACGTATGGACACCTAATTTTTGACAAAGAAATACTCGCATTGGAGTAAAGACAGTATCTCTAACAAATGGTGCTGGTCAAACTGGATAACTGCATATAGAAGAATAAAAATAGATCCAGAGCCATCACCCTGCACAAAACTCAACTCCAGATGGACCAAGGACCTCAACGTACAAAGATATACTGAATCTTATAGAAAAAAAAGTAGAGAATAGGCTTGAATTAATTGACACAGGAAGGAAATTTCTGGACAAGACATCAACAACACAGGCAGTAAGACTAACGGTTAACAAATAGAACCTCATAAAACTAAAAGCTTGTGTACAGCAAAAGATACCATCATTCGAGCAAAGTGTCAGCCTACAGAATAGGAAATCTGATAGAGGGTTAGTATCTAGAATATATAAAGAATTAAAAAATCTGAATATAAAGAAAACAAATAACCTAATTTTAAAAATGGAGTACAGAATTAAACAGTTTTCAAAAGATGAAAACACAAATGGCTGAAAAACATTTTTAAAATGCTCAATATCCTTAGACAACAAGGAAATTAAAACTGCTTTGACATTTTATCTCACCCTAGTCAGAATGGCCAAAATCAATAAAAGTAGATGGTAATTAACAAAGAGATCACAACCGGACAATATCCAGAGAGTGAGAGACTTTGGAAGATTTAGCCCTTTGAGGGGATGTCTTTATCAAACCCCTCCCCTCAAAGTTCAAGGTTCTATATGGAAGAGGAAATGGAAAGATTTTAGGAGCCAAAGGTGGTGAATGTCTCCAAGGAAACAGGGTCTTCCAGACACAACAGGACTGATACACATTTGAATTCGGAGACTGTCATAGCATGCACATGCAAGTTCAAACCAGACAAAATCCCCAGCATTGAGAAGGGAAGTGAACACAAAGGTCCACCCTAAACAAGAAGCTACTTGTAATTGATACCTGCTGGCAAAGGGGATATCATTTTTTTCCAATAGAGTGTCACTGGATATATCAACACTACTCATGTCTAGTAGTTGGCCAATATAAAATGGACTCATCTTTTTTTTTTTTGGTGCAGTATTTTGTTTTGTTTTGGTTTGTTTCTTTGTTTGTTTTTGTCTTATTCTATTTCTTTTATTTTTCTGATTTTTTATTGCTTCTTGGATTTTTTGTTATTGTTATTGGAGAAAGAAAATAAGATGTTGAGTGGGTTAAGAAGTAGGGAGGAGTTGGGGGAGGAAAAAGAGTATGCTTAAAATACATTCTATGAGAAAACATTTTTTAAATAAAGAGTATTACATTAACTGGGAGTGCTAATGCACATCTTTAATCCCAACACTTGGGAAGCAGAGGACAGCCTGATTTATACAGTGAGTTCAGGGCCAGCCAGAACTACAGTGAGACCCTATCTCAAAAAGTACATATATAATAGAAGTAGAAACAAGAAAGGTAGAAGGAAGGAAAAAGAAGGAAGATGAAAAAGATGATGATTACATTAATGGTGCTGAAGAGACAGCTCAGAAGTTAAAAGCATTTGTTGCTCTTTCAGAAGACCTAAGTTTAGTTCCCAGCACACTTATCAGGCAGCTCACAAAAGCCTAACTCCAGTTCCAGGGATCCAACACCATTGTCTGGACTCCACAAGCACAGGTACACATGTGCACACACACACATATACATACATAAAGACACACACATATAAATAAAAATATAATCTTAAAAAAAGAATACATTAAAATTTTCCAGATAGTAGGCAATTGTGTTGCAACTATGTAACTACCTATTTTCTTTAAATCAGATTATTAAAAATTGGCCCATGAGTCATAAAAGCTTGAGAAAGCAACTATGAGACTCCAGTTTATAAGCAAAACTCTCCTTGGAGCTGTACTTTATGCTGTTAAGTTTGTTAAAACCAATACTGTCCAGAAACATGAGCTGTAAGGAAATCTTAATACTCTAAACAGCAATGTGTTCCATTACATTTTCTACTAAAAAGAACTTACAAAGACCGGCTTTTAATTTTGAAAGTTCAATTCAACATTTCCATCCTGTACTACTATACAGACACTGAAAGAGATTCAACATACATTTTCATTCAGTTTACTTGCTTCAAGACGCATCCTGGTCTTCTCCATGTTTTCAATTTCTTGGACTATTTCAGCAGCTATTAAAATAAGAGGGACAAAAACTCAATTACAGTGCTTGATCATTACTCTATGCCTACGTGAGGTTTTAAGAGTAGAGAAAGACAGGTGTATATACCTGTGGATTCCTATCTCCTTTTTCCAAATTTTCATATAAAATAAGTGTGGTAGTTTGAAGAATATCCTCTACTGACTCATAAATTTGAATGCTAGGTCCCAATTAGTGGAAATGTTTGGGAAGGATTAGGAGGGTGGCCTTGTTGGAGGAGATGTGTCACTGGAGCTGGGCTTTAAGATTTCAAAAGCCCACTCTCCCTCTCCCCTTCTCTCTCCCTCTGCCTGAAATTTGCATATCAGATGTGAGCTCTCAGCTACTACTCCAGTGCTATGCCTGCTGGCCTGCCACACGCACTCCCTTCCATAATGGTCATGGACTCACCCTCTGAAACTATAAGGAAGCCAACTAAGTGCTTCCTTAAAGTTGCCTTGGTCTTGGTGTTTCATCACAACAATAGAACAGTAATTAAACAGTAAGTCTAACACTATTTCAATGTAACACATTGCAAGAAGAAATATGGAGTTTAAACATTCAACTCTTCTATGTATCAAAATAAAACTGTAAGAAATACCATGTCATTTTCGCCTTCTTTCTTGAATATATAAACAGCAATTCCAATGAAATTTGAGAACTAATGTACTACTATGAGTTAAATTCTTAGAAGATATTCAAACTCTGATAAATGTAGTAAAACTTGCCAAGGAGAGAGAAAGATCTGCAAATACCAGGGGGAATGCCCTTGCCTCCAAAACCAGTATCTGTAGACAGTTTCAAACCATCAACAGCAGGGAGATCAAGAGAAGGTTCTGTCACACATTAATGCCTTTCTTTAAACATAAACTGTGCAGATTTTGAAAATGCTATCTTTAGTATCAAAGTCAATCTATTTAAGTGTGTGAGGTACAGAATAAAAACTGACAATCATTTATACTAGTTTATATATAAAAAGATATTAAGTCCTATAATTTACTTCAAAATATTCTATGGTGAGGCTTTTAATGGTAGATGAAAAACTAGGATGGCTTGATAATTGGTTACATTGTAAGGTAGATATATGGGGTAAATGGGAGTACTTCTTGGTAAATCCCTCTACAACCACCTCATTCAATTTCCCTCTATACCCACCTCAATCTCTACTTTGTATCTACTTCAAATATTCCTACTAAAGTTTGTTTTTAAACTCAAAGCAACTGATTCATTTAAACAAAAGATTTTCCTTTCCAAGCACTGAGATGTATCTGCCTCCTTAATATTGTAAAGCTGGTAGAAACAATGTAAACAGTATCATCTAGGAGCAAGAACTGTTTCTCTCCTTATGAGCTTACTTACTGAGTCATGGTATAATAGGAGGGAAAAGCATTTACATTCTATCCAATGCATTAACACAAGTACATCTGGCACACTCCACAGTAGTTAGAAAATTATTTTAGTGTGGGTACAAGTTAAGGGTTTTAAGCTACTTTCAAAGAAAGACTTCTGATTCTGTTTAAGAATATAGAGAGCTAACAATAGCATCACCACCACTATAATGACAAGGAAAAACTAGACAATCTATCCAACTATAATCTTTCTTGAATTCATCAGAGTTAAAGTCAAACAGCAACTACATATGCTAAAACCCCAAAAACAGGTGGCAAGTTTGGGAGAGATCATGAGCATCAGGCGACAAAAAGCAATGTCCAGGAGCTAGTCTGCAATGACCCTTCATCTGAGTAAGATCACAGCTAAACTTTTTGATAGATGGCAAAAGGCCAAGAGTGACTACCAAGAAAGCATAAAAGCAAAAACAAAACAACAACAAAAACACAACAGAGACGCTCAGACACAGGAACATCAATTGCAGGCTGTTTCTATAATGCCTGGCACTCTGAGATAGCAGGAGTCTCAGCTGCACACTCAGCATCATAGACTCTCCATGCCTTCCCACTCATGTTTCAGCTTAATCAATGCGTCAAAAGAAATCTTCCCTTTGTCTAGTTGCTTCTTCTTAGGTATTTGGTCACACCGATAAGAAAAGTGACTGATACAAAAAAATTAATACAGAACAAGCTGGGCTTGGTGGTACACGCCTTTAATGCCAGTTCTTGGGAGGCAGAGGCAGGTGAATCTCTATTTTAAGACCAGCCTGGTCTACAGAGAGAGTTCCAGGATAGCCAGGGCTACACAGAGAAACCCTGTCTTGAAAAACAAAAACAAGTAAATCAGTACAAAAAATGGAGTCATTGTGACAAGCCTGCCATGTGGTTCCCAGGCCTTTAGAAGTGACATGCAGAAGAACTATGGAAGAGTGTGAAGCTGCAGGCTAGAGTCCTAGAACACTCTAAGTGCAGCTTGATAAGCCAGTGTGATAGGAAAGAGGAAGACCAGAAACCGAAATGTGGACAACAAGAGCTCTACAAAGAACTAGGGCAAGAGAAGAGGCCATTTGTGTCACTCTCTGGCAAAGTATATAACTGCATTCTGCCCATGTCCTATTTCAGTGAGGATAAATGAAAAAATATTGAACTAATTTGTTTGGTGGAGGAAATCTTAGAATAATATAACATTCAGGCTATGACATGGCTACTGATCAATGCACTTATCTTAATTCACAGAAAACAGAGCAGAAAAATACAAAAAATGTGCAATTTGAAAAGAAAAGGAGCTTGAGCCTGGATGAAGTAATGGACATAAAAGCAATGTAGCAGAAAAAAAAAAAAAAGCTTTAATCATAAAGGCAGTTAAACCAGGGATGAACTTGTGGCTATTACCCAACTCATTAACTCAAGGAGGCAGAGTAGAAAAAACAGTGGTCAAATGTATGGAGACAACCTTACATGGGAGGAGGGGGATTCTAGGATATTGACAGTAATCTCAGGAGGCATTTTCACTTTATGAAAATTTACCACACCATGAACTTTTCTGTTTTTATATCACTTCATTTTTTTTAAACATAAGGCAATTCTCAATGTTCTTACCTATAGAGAATTCCAAAATGTATGTATGGGCAATTAAAAATATGTGGAGAATACTGACATTTTTATGAATCAGTACCAAGTAAGGATGTTTGTTTATGTATAATGGAAACATCTATGAAGTTCTAAGTACTTGCTGAGGTCCATACTGGATAGTTTGGATGCATCCTACCGCCTCAAAGACATTATACAGCATATAGGATTATAATCCTCATTTTATGTATGAGAAAACTAAAGTACAGGGATGTGACTTGTTCACTGTCACTCAACATAAAGTGGGAGGACTGTAGGACTCAAGATCACTCTTTACCTACCACCATGCCATCTCTGGAAAGATATTCAAAAACTTGGCAACAGTGACTACTCTGCAAAGGAACTGGGGCTAAGAGATAGCCTGAGAGGAAGATGGCCTTAGCATAGTGTTCTCTAGGTAACTCTTGAAGGGATTCATTTACATATCTTACCTACTGCCAAATAGGTACTTACTAAAATCCTTCCCGTGTTTGACAATCTCTGTGCTATACACACTTGCTTTACCCAAAGATAAGCACAGATGTATTACTTTACCTGATTTAGGATTCAAAGCATCACACTGGGCATTGTACATGTGTACAAATTCTTGGTGCCTTTTAATAAGCTGTTGTTTGCTCCCTTGAATAGATAAGCCATGTTGTTTCATCTTTTTCTTTAAATCACGATCAGAGAGCAAGTTATACACAGTTTTGGGCAACGGCTTCCTTTTGTGAGCAGAACTAAAATGGAAAAAAAAAGAGCAGGTGTTCTGAGGATTATTGTGAATTATCAAATACTCTCAATAAAGTAGCAACTTACCTTCCCAATAGCTGAATGATTGGACAGTTAATTGAGCCATTAAGATAAAAAAAGAAGAGGATAAGGAGATAGTTTAATCAGTGAAATGCTCGCCTCACATGCCTGAGTTTGACCTCCGGCATCCACTCAAAAAGTTGGGGAGGTGAAAACTGGGGCATCCCTAGAGCTTGCTAACTAACTAACTAACCAGCAAAGCCAGGTCGCAGTTCGAGACTCTGTCTCAAAAAACAAGGTAAAATATACTCCTGAGTATGATATCCAGGGTTGACCTGTCTTTCACACACACACATACACATACACCCCTTACACATGAACATGCATACCTACACCCACACAAAGGTAGATAGATGGGGGTCAGCATATACACTCCGAGTAGAGGTTCAGCTCTGTGGACAATTAGGTGCATAATTAAGCAATTTTCAAAGTGATCTTTACAATTGCAATCATTCCAAAATAACAACAGTAAATTAGTAAGATCTTAAAAGTAACAGGGTTTTAAATAAAGATTTTTAAAAGATAAGCAAGGAGAGTTCAAAAAGACTGTGCTTTCCAAACTTCAGGGACCACAGAACTACCAGGAGAGCCTGTTTTAAATGCAGATGCTCAGTTCCTTTCTCTACAGCACCCATCCACACGGTGCAGGCCTGAAGCAGAAACTGAAAATATTTATTTTCCAGTTTCCTAAGGTAAATCTGATGCAGTGGTCCAAAGGTTATACTGAGAGCCCTATTACGGCCAAGTATAGATAAAACAATTCTACTCACACAAGGACCGTTTTTCTGGCTGAACTATCTCTTTATGCTCAGTTAGTAAAGCCTGAAATAACTACTTAGTTATAAAAGAACCTGGAAAACTTAACAGAGTATATGTTTCCAAAATTGTTCTTCTTATAATGGCATCCAATTGGGTTCCACAAAACTGGTGACTTTATGGTAAAATAAAATCACAGTAGGTAGTATCAACTGAATCATTTTGCAGTGTTTACAGCAAGCATAAAGAGAGGAACAATTATTAAGTCTCTAACTAAAACATTTATCAAGGACAGACAATTACATTTACAACTATAAAATTCTAATAAAAGTCTGTTGTGTCCACTGGCATCCACAATGAAAGCAACACCAGACATCTCTGTCAAGAATTTGAAACTATGGGCCTGGAGTTTAATTCTTCCAGAGGATCCAAGTTTAATTCCCAGCACCCACATGGCAGCTCACACCTGTCTGTAACTCCAGTTCCAGGGCTTCTGACACCCTTAACCAGACATACATGCAGGCAAAACACCAATGATTACAAAATAAAAATAAAATAAGTAAGAATTTGAGATTATGAAGCCAGAGAAGCATTTTCCCAAGCATGACATGACACTGATTTTTTTTTTCTGTGCTGACTCAGAGAACCTAAATCACATGTCAGGGGTCTCAGAACCAGGACATCAATCTCTGAATCAACTGACAATTCCACATAGGGTGGAGTAAGGGTTATCAGTTACATCCAGCAGTTGACCTTTTAGTGTTATAAAAAGAGACTATAAAGCAGAGAGACTCTTATGTGACCAAACCCCAGGCCACGATATAATTAAAAATATTCAGCTCCATGTTTCCCTAAGTGTGCCTGAACAATTTAGTAAAAAAAAAAAAAAAAAAAATGACTTGTGAGAATAAAAAAAAACCTTGGAGTAAAGCAAATTTAGAAATTATGAAACAAAACAAACTCCAGCAGTTATCTCGAGTATAGGACTTCTCAGGACCTTCAGTCTACTAAGAGAGACACAGTTCTGAGTTGCACTGGGAGCCAGCTGGCAGGACTCTGTGCAGCCAAATTGGGAAGACCATTAGATAGAGCTACAAGTATTAGAAGAATACAACAGATGCATCTGGAAAGAGAACAATCTAAACAAGATAATCAGTGCCAATTTCTTACTCTTCAGGAGAAAATACTCAGAGTTTCTACTTCTAACTCATTCTCTTGGGAGAAACAGAAGTAAAAAAAGCAAGTCATGTGATACTAATGGCTTAGAAGTTATCCAGGGAGCTACTGATTTGTATTCCAAATTCCCCCTAACTAAGCAACATAAACGTCTAAATTCTATTCCCATCAACAAACTTGTGGGTACAAGAAGGCAGTCCTTGTGAGCACAGGACTGCCCAGGCTTGGAGTCAAGTACAGATTGTGCTGTGAGAGTTAGCAAGACATCAGCCTTTGTAAGCCACGGTGGTACAGCCTGTCCCTTGAAACCTGCATTTACTCCAAACTTACTCAAAGAATTGAGTAGCGCCTTTTTAGTTTTAATAATCAAATCAGTAAGATAGTCCTGTCTTTGGAGAGAATGCTTTGGGAGAATGCCCTTCATAACAGATGAAACATGAGCCAATCATTCTCTTCCTCCCACTTTCCAGGCATCACTAATACATATTGTCAGCCTCCTTCTCTCTTCCACAGCTCTCTCTAGTCCAACCTATTCTCTCCAACTTTCCCCAACTTCATTCACTGTGCTCACCACTGTTGTACTTACTATCTGACAATGGCAAGAAGACTGAGTCCTGTACCCTACTTTTAAAAATAAAATCTTCCCTTGCTGACCATGTCTCTCCCAACTACATCTCTCTACCATCACCAGACTCAAACAGGATACTTCTGCTTCCTTATTGTCTCTACCAATCAGATTCCTGAGGCGCTGAAATTTAACTTCAATTAAAACATTACTCCTTGAACACACAAGTGGACCAGTTTTAGATTTGGTGACTTTGATACACAAAGGGGCAAAGTAGCACAGTAGTTTAGGTACAAATACTGATCTCACAACTTATTAGTAACATCATCTCTCAGTGTTTTGGAGAGAAGGCCTTCATATTCCATACATACTCTCTGGTAAGGAAGGAGAAACAGAGAAGTGAGGCTGGAATGTAACTGTGTAGTCTAGGCTGACCTACTTTTCAGTAGTCTATGCTGCCCTTGATTCTCCTGTCTCAGCCTCCTGAATGCAGGTATATACCACTATACCTAGCTAAAAATATTCTTCTCCATCATTTTTATATATGTTAATAGAACAGCCTATTCAAAAACTAATTTTTGAAGAAGCTCACTAGGTAGTAAGCTTTGAATTCGATTTTCAGCACTATAGAAATACAGACAAATACACAGTAAGTTTGATTTAAATTAATATTTAAAATATTAAATTTTTAAATTCTTTATAAAGATTTATTTAAAATATTAAAACATCCTAAGAATTATGAGAGATTTTACATGTTCCAAATTCAAGCTGTCCTTGATTTCTAAGGGGCAAGATCTTTGCATGATAGTTAGAGAATTCTAAAAAGAAAGTAAGTTTAAAAGATAAGTGAATTAGCTAGTGGTAGTGGTGCATGCCCAGGCAGATCTCTGTGAGTTTAAGGTCAGCCTGGTCTAGAGTTCCAGGACAACCTGGGATACACAGAAAAATCCTGTCTCAAAACAAACAACAACAACAACAAAAGTGATTCTAAGTCAGTATTTTTTCTAAGCCATACTGTAATAGTGAGCAAGCACTGATCCACTACTGACAAATGGCAGAGTGTGAGCTGAAAAAAGAACAGGAGTGAGAGAATGGAAAGGTAGCCAGTGTTGAAGAGAAAATCAGGCAGGAAAGAAAACAGGAGTACTAGTCACCAGGACAAAAGGTGTCCTGGTTTTGATTCATGGCTATAAAGCACAGAAGGACCCAGCCAAAGCAGGTCAGCAACCAAGCCCAGCTTTCTTACCTTCTAAGGCTCTCCTTCTTCTCTTCACGTGACAAGCAACTGTCTAAATGCTTGTTGATGTGATTTTCTGGAATGCTGACCCCACAAACAGGACAAGACACTGTATTAAAAGAGAGAGAGAGAGAGAGAGAGAGAGAGAGAGAGAGAGAGAGAGAGAGAGAGAGAGACTTTATTAGCCATAAAAAGGGGAAAATTTGACAAGCTGACATCTTTCAGTAATTAAGAGAAAAAAGAGAACCCCAGCTAATCTGCTCTTAGAAAAACCTACAAAAACAAGGAGATCAGGCAAACTGGCTACTAGTAACTGGCTATTTTGTGGGAAGTCGCATAATCAGAATCCTAGGTCTAAAGACTGCAAGTAAGTTTGGAAGTTAGCTAATCAGAAAATCTTTGATTATAACTTTTCTACACCAGGGTACCAGGTGTGCCTTATTACAGCTGCAGCTTTGTGGAGTTGCAGTAAATGTGGAGGTATCAGAATCCACCACGGGTAAAAAGTAATGGCCAAGGGAGACTTGTGGCACCACAATCTCCAGGCTCTTTGCTCCTATTTTTAATAGAACACACAGAATTGTACCTATTCTATATGTTATGCTTCATTCTAAGATTTCATTTGAGGGGAAAAAAATTCTACAAGAGTTGAAAACATCTTCCTGTGAAACTAAAAACACAACAGCAGAAACCATAGAAGGAACGATCCAGGTTGAGATGTGGTAGGAGATACACGTTATCAAAAACACACATCACAGAGACTGGTTGTGGGCTTTCCAAATCACCCTTCCCACCATAATCCTGGCTCTGTCACCATTAGGCCACTCTGCACCACTGCAGCATGAAAACATCAGAGACAACACGTAAACAAAGGAGAAGTACATGTTCCAGTAAACCTGTATTTGCCATACAGGTGCATGCCAGCTCTGGTTTCCAGCTACTGTCTGTCTATGGGTACACTGTAGGAAGAGTGAGTTAACAAACTTGGCTTCAGAGACATTTGAGAAGGAGAGCTAGGAAATAAGGCAGGGTCACTGAAGTACATGTCATCTGCCAAAGGGCATTAAGCCACAAGCAGAACATCAAGGAAGTGTCAAACCAGTGGTATAAAACATAGGCCTCTTTAAGCATTAACTGGAACCAGATGAGCTGAGAGGGTTCCAATCTAAAAACAGAAAACTACCTCGAAAAGTTAACCGTTTCACTTCTGCAAGAATCATCCTGATTCCAATTCTATGATAAAGACAAGGAACCTACCTCTAAGCAATGACAACATCAATATCTAAGACAATGTCTATTCCTACTTACTCTCCCCTCAAAAGTGCTATCTATTAATCTTATACCACATGGATAAGATTTCCTTAAGCATGAAAAGGCATATATAAAAATGACTTCCTACCTTTAGTATCCAGTTTCAGGGTGGATGTAGAGGGTGTCACAGGACCATTAGCATCTGAAAGACCAAGTACCGTCTTTCCTATGAGACTTGTCTCTTTAATCTCAGCAGAGGTATTTATCTCCTTTTGAGGGCTGAATTTCATGTCATTTTCTTTTCCCAACAACTCTGATACACAACCACCAGTTTCTCTAACCAGGAACTTGTCCATTAACCTGTTCCCCTGTTTGACAGGGTTAGGCTTGGCTTCAGCATTATGTACTTTAACAACAACTTTCTTTGAGGTGGAAGACACAGGAGATATGGGTGGTGACTCTAAAGCAGACTGCAACAGGCGAGTCCTTGGAACACATACAAAAAAGGGGGAAAAAGACAGGAAATTAAGATGTCAAATTAGACATAAACTAGGATCTCCCAACTAATACTTGTTTCTCTGAAACACAGAATTTATGCCACAGTCACAACTAAAGAGTTTCTTTTAAGACAAGAAACAAAGCAATAAATCAGAATTAAAAGGCAGTTCCTAAGACTTCAAGTATATTAGGTTCTAGCTGCTGATATGAGACTTACTCTACAATGGCTTAGTAAAATCTGGAGCAATACAGGAAGCAACAGTTAGTATCACTACTACACGATCGACACAAAAGTTTGATCCTTGTGATAAGAGAGACGCATGAAGCAACCCAACATCGCCCCAAGATCTTCCTTCACTTGGAAGCATTTTCTGGGATTTGTATATGGAACTGACATCTAAGCAGGAAAAGTAATCTCACTGTCTAGAAAGAAGAAAACACAATTCTGGGCAGAGGTGATGAGGACTAGGGACACAGGGTGCTTGGTATGTGGGAGCCATGAAAAGGAAACCTCTCACCCATTTGCAATCACCTCCAGGGTACACAAGGTCAAAACACACACAGGGGTCTGGTAGGAAACAGACATTGGTAAATAGATGCCAGAGGCCAATGCTGGAAAGATCTTTAGCTTAGCCCAGCCAAAGTGGAAATAGGAAATACCCTCATGAAGACCACAGGGATAAGGTGAGATGTCACAGAGGCCCTACCTTAGGAAAGGACACCATTATGTGCACAGTGTGTATGTTCACACAAATGTGTATTTGTGCATATGTGTTTTTACTTCTATATGTGTATAACTCATGTGTATGTATGTATATGTGTGTAAAACTAAAACTGAATCTAATAATACACTGCACCAACACTTAATGGGTCAAAAGCAAAGAGCTGGTAATTTAATTGCTTGTCAGAACAAAGAAAGGTTTTGGTCTACAATGCTCATAGAAAAGAAAGAAAATAGCTACTAATCAAACCATAACATTTTCAAAAGAAACAGATGAGAAGCTTATTTTTATTATGAATTAGTACTGAATTATATCAAATGCATTTTCTGCCCTCATTATGATTATATACATTTTTCTATTTTGTTAATATAGTTACATCAGCTGATTTTCCAGTGTATCTTAAATTTTTATGCCTAGGTTTTACTGTTTCATCAATGATTTTTGTGACTGCTTGTGAAAGATTATTAGAGTAGTTTTCCTTTCCTGGCTGGCTGGGTTTATCAAGGCTTTGCTTCTTTCTTTACCTCCCTCCTTCCCTTCTTTTCTCTTCTTTTCTTTCTGGACAGGGTCTCACTGTGCAGCCCTGGCAGGCCAAGAACTCATCAATCTGATAAAATGTTACTTAAAAAAAAACCTCACAACTAGAATCAATCATTAGTGATAACAAATGAGACATCCCCCCAAGACTGACCAAGACACAGATGTCTACCACCACCATCTCTCTTAAAACTGTAGAAAACGTCCTGAGCTAAAGGTAAAAACAAAAACAATAAATTTTTTTAAAGGCAAAATATTTTTCACTTCCAAAGGAAAAGTTAGGTACAAGGTAGGCAAGGGGGAGGTTCACTATACTATCTTCCCTACTTTCATATATATTTAGATTCTTCCACAATTTAAAAAAAGATTAAAAAAAAAAAGAAAAAGTAAGCTATGGGTGGTGGTACATGCCTATAATCTCAGCATTCAGGATTCTGAAGCAGAAGATTCTAATTCAAGCCCAATTTCAAAAATCAAGAAGAGAGGGAAATGGGGGAAAAGAAGAAGGGAGAAGAGAAGGAAAAGGAGAAATCAGAGAGAAAAATGCAGTAAAGTTAAAAAAAAAAACACCTAAGGACCTTGGTCTTAGGGAGGAAACATAAATTAAAAAAAAAAAAATACAGAACCATCATCTTCAATAGTCTCTTTTCCTTCCAGTCTCCGGATTTAGTACAAAGAAGGTTCTGAGAAAAGCTTTCCTTGCATGACAAAGGAGAGGAGACAAGGAGACAGTCGGTATTCAACCACAGATGATACACCACTAATCCTTTCAGCACATTAGTGGTAATTTTTCCCTTTATTCCACAATTCAGATGAACTGAATTCCAATTGGCTCTCTTATTTCAAGGCATGTCAATAAAGACTATGGCAGACAGTAGCAGCAAGGTCACACAATAAACTACTCTCAAAGCTAAAATTAAAATTCACTAACTTATTCCAGTACCACCTACTCTTGCCAGAGAAGCACAATAAAAAGCAAAGCCTCTACATAAGGGGGAAAAGAAAAGGCTTATACAATCTATGTATAATGAAGCCAAATACAATGGAGCCAAAGGGCTAAGAAAACAGCTCAATGACAGAGAGATTCCCTAGCATGAGGAAGGCTCAGGGTGCCAGTACCACACAATAAAAACTAAATTAAAATAAAACGTGGCCAAGCATGAGAAGATGAGGTAAGCATTCTTTATAGCTGATCAGAAAGCCTCATAGAAGGTAACCTGTGAGAACAGAGTCCAGAGAAAGTGGGAAGGTGGTCACCTGGGAAAACACCAGTTCACTTACAAGCATGTAGAGGAGAAACAAGAAGGCAGACAACTGAATAATAAAGGGAAGACATGAAGTCTGAGAGGGAACAAGACGGCAGGGCAACCAGAGGACTAACTCAGAAAGGACTTCGGCTCCTGCTCCAGTGAGATGGAGAACTCAACTGCTTGGGTGTTAAATGCTCCCTGAAGGCCTGAGTGCTAAATGGCATTAGTTTGGGAGTTGCTGTGGATCTAATTTAAGAAATGGGTCACCATGGGAGGTCCTTAGGCCACTGGAGCATGTCCTAACACAGGACTGTGGGCACATTCCTTGTCCTCTGTCCCTTACCTGGAATGCAAGCATCCTTTTACTATAATGTGCCATCGTCACCAAAGGTGAAGGCCCGTAAGGCCCAATCTTGGACTGGAAGCTCTAGAAGGAACAAAGTCATCTTTTCTCTTTATAAGTACACAGCCTGGGCACTTTACTATAGCACCATAAGCCTGCCTAACACAAAGAACTGCCACTAACTAACGGGCTTTACACATAACCCGACTCTGCTTTAAAGGAATTGCTTTAGTTATCACCATCAGGACGGATTTTAGGAAAACCAAAGTAAACGTAAGAATACAGTTAGCAAATTGTCAAAGTCTAGTAGGACAGCACTGACTTGGACCAGATTCTAGACAGTAAAGAGATGACAGACTCAGCCTTGGAAGCACTGTGAAGACAGAATCAGTGGAACTTAACAGATCAACAAATTAAGTGGTAATAAAACAGAGTTCAGGAAGACACCAGTCTTTTGCTAGAGTAGTTAAAAGAATAGTTCCAGTGCAAGGCTGAGGAGACAGTAGGTAAAAGTGTTACCATACAAGCTTCACAACCTGAATTTGGGTCCCCAGAAGTCAAGTAAAAGCCAGATGTAGCAGCAAAAGAATTTGTAATCCCAGGGTGTTCCCGTGGAGAGATGGGAGACAGAAACAAGACAAACTCCAGATGCTCAGGGGCCAGCTAGGCTGCTTATACTTTAACAGAGATTCCGTCTCAAAGTGGAAAAGCAAAGTATGATACTTGATGACTGTCCTGTGATCTTCATGCGGTTGGGTTTTTTTGTTTTGTTTTGTTTTCTGGTTTTTTATTTTTTTACTCTTTACTATTTGGGGGACCCACTACACAGCTCCCAAATAATCACACAAGAGACTTATTCTTTCTTACGAATACTGGGCCTTAGCTTGGTTTATTACTAGCCAGCTTTTCATAATTATCCCATCTGCTTTTTGCCTCTGGGCTTTTACCTTTCTCTATTTCTGTATATCTTTTCTTTCCTTCTTATTCTGTGTCTGGCTGGTAGATGAGTGGCTAGCCCCTGATGTCCTCCTCTCCTTCTCCTTTTCTCCCTCTCTATCTTTTCTCTCTCTCCTTCTATTTATTCTCTCTGCCTGCCTGACAGCCCCACGTATTTGTCTCTCCTGTCTACCTATTGAACATTCAACTCTTTATTAGACCAATTGGGTGTTTTAGACAGGCAAAGTAGCACAGCTTCACAGAGTAAAACAAATGCAACATAAAAGAATGCAACACATGTCTGCACCATACATTCCACAGCATAAACAAATGGAACACATCTCCAACTAATATCCACAACACCTCCACACATATACCATGGCACACACACACACACACGCACGCACGCACACACCAGTGCTGCTGTTCACACAGTCACAGCAACCATCAAAGCAGGTATTGTAAGGACTCAGGCATTATGCTGGCCTGTCCCTGTCACCTGGCAGAATGTACTCAGGTAGTACTTTGGTCAGTCCAGGGTTCCATGAGTACTACTCTGCATGCAGGTCAAGGGACCCCTTTAAAAGACAGACCCTCACCCAATATGCTTTTTTTCCTCTCTTTCTGGCTCTTCTCTCTCTCCACTCTTTTCTCTTTCTGTTCTTTTCCAGCTCTCTTCCCGCTCTCTCTTCCTGCTGTTCCCCTGGGGCAAACAGGACTTTTCCTGTCTCCCTCTTCTCTTCTGTCCTCTCAGTGTCTGTCTCTTTACCTCTTTTTTCTTTCCTTTCCCCTCCTTCCCCTTTCTAAAAAAACTTCGCACTTAAGCCCTGTCTGCCTGGTGTGTTTGTCTCTGCCTTGGTCACCCTCGCCTGCCATGGAATCCACCAAGGTTCCCCATGCAAGGTCCCCTTCCAGCTTTATCCTAACAGGGTAAAGAGAAGAGCATCAGCAGTCCCTTTTGCACATGTTAAACATCACTTGCTCTTAGAAGGCTCAAGGGTAAATATGAGATAACCTGTTGACAGGAGTCGAAGTTTTGGAGAAAAGCCTGTTTGAAGACTTGGAAAACATGGAAACAGAGACTCTGTGAAACTAAAACATTTTATAATTAATATACCCTAAAATAAGTTGAATGAAGATGTTAATTTCCAAATTGACGTTTACATTTAAATGGAATTGGTCACTTTCCCTTAATTTCCACCACCCTTATGAGTTCTTATCAATATGATCTGGCACTGCAGAACCTAACAGCTCTCATCACAGGCACTCAGATATCTCAGGGACAGATTACAGACTTGCAGAGCTGGAAAGGCTATCAGAGAGGAATCAGTATTTTATTGTACAGATGGGTAAATAAAGTCCTAAGTCCAAGTCATCCTGTTGGAAAGCATACAGATTAGATCTCAAACAGCTGACAGAGCCCCAAAACTGTCTGCCACAGGGCGTATTGCTCTGAGTAAGTAATTGTGACACAGAAAATATAGAAGAAGCTTGCATTTTGCTAACTACACAAGTAACCTCATCTCTTTAGAATGTGGCCAAGAATCAAAACTCACACTACGTCTCTAGGTGCATAAGTCATTAAGGCCATATAATAAATTTAGCTACACTACTGGAGTCCCTGAAAATGTTTGCTTTGATCTGAAACATGCAAAGAGCAGTTTAGAATCATCTGATGAGGGCTGGAGAGATGGCTCAGCCATTAAAGGCTAGGCTCACAACCAAAAATATAAGAACCATCTGATGAAGACAGAGACCACTAAAGCACATTCTTTTCTTTTCTTTTCTTTTTATTTTATGTGCACAAGTTTTTACCTGCATGTACCACGTGTGTATGTAGTGCCTGCAGAGGCCAGAAGAAGGCATTGAGTATCCCTGGACCTGGAGTTAGAGATCTTTGTAAGCTACCATGTGGGTGTTAAAAATCAAACCCCAGGCCTCTGGAGAACAGCAAGTGCTTTCTCCAGCCCCTACAGCACATTCTTAGTAGTAACTTAGAGCATCGATGTGTGAGACGGAAATGCACAGTAGTAATAGAATCTGGTTTCTGATTCCTCTGTACCAAGTACTATCACAATGACCTTTACATAACTCCCATCAACAGCACCATTTATCTTTTCAGATGAAGACATAGGGATCAAAAGGGTAAATCTCTTGATTGCAATCATAATCAGAGAACAAGGACTAGAGCCTAGTGCCACCTGAACGCAAAGCTAGCTATAAATGACACCATAACCACAACCACAGGGGAACTCACATCCTGTTTGTGAGATACTAAAAGCATTATCTGCTATTATTGTTATCTAAAACGTTTTGGTAAATTCTCTGGCAATTTCAAACATAAAACTGTATTCTGACCATATTCACCCCCACCTCCCTTGTCCTCTATTACTCCCTCCCACTCCATCGGAACTCTTCTCCCAGCAAGCCCTAGTCCTGTCCTGTCATCCTACTTCATCCCTCTCTCTATCTCTCTCTCCCTCCCTCCCTCCCTCCCTCCCTCCCTCCCTCCCTCCCTCCCTCCCTCTCTCTCTCTCTCTCTCTCTCTCTCTCTCTTACTGAGTTTACTTAAGGTTGCTTGCATGAGAATAGGGCTGGGTTTACTTACTAGAGCAGAGTCACTTATCAATGGCTACATCACTAAAGATGTAATGGTGGCAGAGGCAGCACACGCCTTTAATCCCAGCACATTCGGGAGGCAGAGGCAGGCAGAGCTCTGAGTTCAAGGCCAGCCTGGTCTGCAGAGCAAGTTCCACACAGAGAAACCCTGACTCGGAAAAGGGGGAGGGAAAGGGAGAGGAGGAAAAGGAAGGAAGATGACTCCTCATCCCTTAAGAGCCACCAACTAACTTGGGGAGAGGTGGGACTAAGATGAATATATTCTTACATTTGGAATATGGAAAGAGAACTCCAAATTTGACCAACCCAAATAATTCATAAAACCAATGCTATAGATGGAGACTGGCCTCTATTAAAAAACAAAGAAATAGCCGGGCGTTGGTGGCGCACACCTTTAATCCCAGCACTCGGGAGGCAGAGGCAGGCGGATCTCTGTGAGTTCAAGGCCAGCCTGGTCTACAAAAGCTAGTTCCAGGACAGCCTCCAAAGCTACACAGGGAACCCTGTCTCAAAAAAAAAAAAAAAAAGAAATAATACTTTACCACTTAAGGCAGGAATGATGCTCTCTTTACAAAACACAACAATAAAAAAATCTAACTAAACTTTTGTTCAAAACAGTAGATTAAGAATTTCTTCCCTAAAATGCAGTTCTTGTTCTGTAACCCAAGCTAGCCTCAAACTCATTATCCTCAGCTTCCCAAATGCTAGGATGACAGTAAGCCACCACACCTGGCAGAAACATTACTTTAAATTAAAATGATCCAAGAAAAAGTGTGCTCTTTGAAAATGAACACCAAAGGCCAAAAGATAATGTAAAAGATCCACGTCATCCTGTATCTGAAACCTCTTAAATTATTTCCCATATCTTCTTATTATTTAATTTAGAATATTAAATTTTTAAAAATCAAAATGGCATATAAAATCATAATGGTAGATGAGAAAGACAAGAAATAAAATCAACAAGCAATATAAATACCTTACATTTTAGTCATAAGATTAAACTTCTTCCCTCATCAATCTTAGACCAGAGTTCAAACAAGTACTAATATCGATTAACTTCTATTTCATCCCTACTAATTTTGCAGACGAAATACCATAGAACAGGGTGAACATCCAAGAAATGAGCACCTCAATGATGATGCTAACAATGGTAATGCCAAAGAAGGCAAGCACAAAGAGAATGACAAAATCCATCTGGGGATCTGGAAATGCACAGACACATAAAAATAAATCTTAAAAAGCAAAGTCAAACAAAACAAAAACAAGTTGAAGAGATGGTTCAGTCTTGTTTTGGTGGAAGCAAGACTACCTAAGTTTAAGCCCCAGGACCCCCATAAAAACCTGAGGCTGTTAATGCATTGGAGAGGGCTGGCATCCATGCCAGACTTTGCTGACTCCTCATGGAGGCACTTACCCATGAGGAGGAATGGACTGTGGGAGGACTGGGAGGGAGGGGGTGGGGGGAAAGAGAACTATGATTGGAATGTAAAATGAAATTTAAAAGAATAAATGATTTAATAAAAAAAAAAAAGCTGGGGCTGGCCAGGCAGAGACAGGCAGACCCTTAAAACTTACTAGCTAGTCAGCCTATCCAAATTGTCAAACTTCAAGTCAGTGAGAAACACTCCCCAAAGAAAGACACCCAATACTGATCTCTAGCTTCCATACCCTCACATACATGTCCACCAACATTAACAAGTACACATCACACCTACATATTTTCCCCACCAAAAAAACCCTAATAGACAAGAGACTTTACAGTAAGAAAGCAATGACTTCAATGGAAGAATCAGAACCATGTAGTTTCTTAATCTAGAAAAATACACCACCCTTATGTGGCCTCACTAAGGAAGTAGTTACTGCAATGAACATTAGGAGAGTCCAAAGTACCAAACGCGATCATCTTTAGTACACAAACCTATGAATAAATGTGCAATTCTAATAGCACTCTGACGACATTTTTAGAGGCAAGGTATCTCCAGGAATGTTCCAACAAGTCAAGAAGTCCTCCCTTACATGAATATATGAACTAATAATTAAAACAATGCAAGATATGTTTGGTAAGACATGCCTTCTTATATCCCTTTGGGTAACCAAACTCATAGTCACACATTCATGCATTTGACAGTTAAGGAGCAAAGCTATGTATGAGAACTTTACAGAGAAGCAGTTAGTTATATGTCTCACACAGCATACCATATTACACATGCTGAATAAATCTGATTAAGAATTAATAGGTTAAACATACAAACAGAACCAATTACAGATATGTGTACATAAAAGTGTTAGTATACACAACTACATAGAAACATGTATTCCCTAGCACTGTCCATTAAGAAGCCTCAAAGCCTAACACCCCAGTAGCAATACAACATCAACTATAAAGAGCCAATTAATCCAAGCTTTAACCCTTAATTGTTTCAAAGAGGAGACTTTCTATCAAACAGAGAAAATCCTATGACTACATACTAGAACTTTCTCAGATGTGCAGTGGCTATCATCACTCCCCTTCTGCTCCAGTATGTATGGGGATTGGGAGGAGGTACACATAAAAAGCGAAGGCAGTCAGAAGTTAGTCACAAAACTGAATCATACCGTGCAAAATTCATGCTTTTTACCAGTTCGTCTAAAAGGCGATTATTTCTCAGGTCTGGTTCTGTTACTGCCTAGAAAAGAAAAACAACAGATGGAAAAGATCAGTTTTTGAGATGTCTGACCTGTCCTGAGGCTCTCTGTCCCACTCATCTTCCACGAAAGCCTCAAAATAAAGTGAATTCATCTCATACTAACTCAGAACTTCAGCCAGTGGATCAGAACCTGCTAACTGGAAGCCTGACAACAGCTCTCAAAAGCATGTTAAAACTATCTGCTATTACACTCTGCACCAACTAAGACAAAATACAATATGAACAAGGATTTTTCTTCAAAATACCAAACCTCTAGCTTTCCCCAAATTACTCAGAAACAGAGGAGAGATACTTCTATGTAATAACACTCCAAGAGGCACTAAGTGTTCAAACAGGTTAAAAACAAGAACACAAAACTACAGATGCACTAGCTAGCACTGCAGTGTGGATGTTGTCTGGTATGCCTTGGCGCTAAGTCCATCTGAACAAAGGCAGCACAGCAAGGGCAAAGACCTCTGAGACTGGAAGCAACTGTATTGTTTATGGCACAGGAAACAGTTTAGACAAGTTTAGTGACACTGACCCAGTGTACCAGCCAGAGTGGTTACCCCTCCACTCCCTGTAGTGTCCTGTTCAAGAGAGCCAGGTCTCTCTTTTCTTTACCTGGACGCAGGTTTGATTTCCCATTCTAGCTCCCTCTCTACCTGTTCTCACCTCAGGAAAGTCTCAGGGATGGCCAGCACACTTGCTGACGTTTGTTCTAAAGGGCTGGTCTGGGAGAGTGGTAAGAGACCGAGGAGGCTTGGGTGAGTCCAGTTGCCATGGATCTCTTGCCTCCTCTACAAATACAAACACCAGTACTTCATAAAGAATCCCACCAGTAGTTTTCATCCAAAGTGAGACTTTATAAAAAGTTATAAAAACATAAATTGAGTCAAAGAGTACTTCAGCCTTTGACTTCACAAGATTCATTTAGGGTATCAAAAGTCCTGCTGAGAAGTGGGACAAAATCCAAGTCTCTATGCATACTTGAGAAGTCCTTCCTGGAAACAGCCAAGTGGTTAATTCAGTAACTACATATGATTCCATGCATTTTTGTGGATAGAGAAAGCAAAATATCTGTCCCGATCAACAACCTTTTTTAAAAGAAAATAAAAACTTACCACACAGCAAGTTGGGCACTGAGTTTTATAGGACAAAAATTTTCTTATACAAAGAGAGCAATCTGCAAAAAAACACAAATGCAACATAGGACGTTATGCTAATCAGTAATGCAGGAACCTAACCTTTAACAAAATTTTGGCCTAAGAATAGAGTTCTTCCATCATTGTACCATTATAATTATAATTGTATTTTTCTTGCTCCACGAGTTATTTACTGTTAAGGAAAGGAAATGCATCTAGTACAATGAACTTTTAAACTCTTACAACTCTAAGCACACACCACTCCCTCTTTGCTCAATTTATAAACCACAGGAACACACAGAAGCCCTAGGCTTATTTTATACATGTGCCAGATACCTGCACCCTAACCCTGTGATGCCTACCACCCTTTACTTAACAAGTACTTGAGTGGCAGGTACCAAAACAACACACAGAGCTAAGCTACATTTTTTTTTAACTCTTCATAACTGAGGCAGCATAAGATGCACTCCCAAAGAAAACTACCTGGTATAATACCTCCCTGGTGGCTCCTTTACATGAAGCCTGAGTTCACCTGAATTAAGAAGCCTTATTCAAAACAAATCCATTTAGCTGAGGAAGCAAAGCCAGTATTATTTTGATGGTGCAATTCATAAATAAAGTATTCCCACCTCCACAACAATACTACAAAGGGAAAAAGGAAGGGACATATTATGTCCAAGGATACACAAAAAACAGGTTGAGCTCTTCTGGGTATTGCAAAGAAGCTGGAAGTTGCCATTCAGTCCTCAGAAAAACAAGGTCACAGGCTAAACTGCTATCTCTCCCCAAAAGAACTAGACAGGCAGCCTTACAGAGAGAAGAACCCACAAACAGAAAGCACCTCAAGAGTCAGAAAAGAAACCTATACTGGAGCCAACACCAAAGAGAACATCTGACGTGTGACTGACAGCTGTTGGAAAGAACAGAAAGTTGGTACCATGAGTGGGATACTGTTCTGAAGGGCCTGACCATGCTGTTTTTGGAGGAATGTGGCAGACTTTGAGACTTTGGACTAGGAGAGCAGTTGAAGTGGGGCTTAATGGGTCATCCTAATAGGAGTGTGGAAGACAGCAATGATAAGAGCAGTGTGGATTATGAAGGCCCAGCTCAAAAGGTTTCAGAGGGGAACAATATTAGCAACTGAAATAGAAAACATTCTTGTGGTATTTTGGCAAAGAATGTGGCTGCTTTCCACACTTGTCCTAAATTGAAAACAATGGATTAATTTCCTTGGCAGAGGAAATTTTAAGACAGCTGAACACTGACTCTCGAGTGGTTCTTAGTAATCATTCTTATATGGATCTACAATGAAAAAGAACAAGTAGGGCAAAAAGAAATACAAAATATAGTTTGTGAAGAAAAAGAATAGCAGAAAATTTAATGTCAGAGCCAAGGCCTGTGCTGAAAGAGATGAGAAGATTAAAGAAAGACCTGTTATACAATAGAATAAAGGGAGGGGTACACTCAGGGCAAAACCCCATTCAGCAATGCATAAAAATTTTTCTCCTGCTAAAAACAAAGGCAAGCACTAGGCTGGGTGGTGGTGGCAGCTCACACCTTTAATCCCAGCACAAAGGAGGCAGAGGCAGATGGATCTCTGAGTTTGAGGCCAGTCTGGTCTACAGAATGAGTTTCAGGACAGCCAGGACTGTTTCACAGACAAACCCTGTCTTGAGGGTGGGAGGGGAGCTTCTACAAATGTAATTCAAGGAGCAGGCTAGGCTCTATCCCAGTTGGGCAGTAAAAGTTGGCAGTGTTACCAACATGATTCTTGCTTTCAAGTCATGAAGATACACAAGTAAAGTGGTTGTGGAATCTCCCTCGAAGGCTAAATAGAGCCACTGAGGTCAGACATATGGCAGGAGAGTCCCAGCATGGAAGCCCTGAAAGGCTACTCCATGAAGCTGTGACACTGAAGCCTGGATTGTGTTGGAGACCCAAGATGTTAGAGATACCAGAGCCTTGGGATATCTGGCAAGGGAAACTGTATATAGAAAGTGAAACTAACCCAAGAGCAAGGAGTGTGGTGTAGTCAGCAAAACTGGAAGGGAAGAACCATCTAAGTCCTCTGAATCAGACAGAGCTAGAGGATCTGGAGTTTGTTCAGTCTTGTGTTGGTCCATATGCCCCTTTTTTCCTCCATTTTGAAATGATAAGGTATACTCTATATATGTAATTTGGTTTTTGATTTTTGGGCTTACAGGAGGTTGCAATTAAAATACTGCCTTGAGTTTCAAAAGAGACTTTGAACTTTTAAACTGTGTTGAGACTGAAAAACTATGGGGACTTTTGAAACTTGACAAAATGTATTTTGCATTATATGACCACAAATCTATAGAGGCTAGTGGCATGTGGTGGTTTGAATGAAAATGGCCCCAGAGGCTCATAAATTTGAATATGAGGTCTCCACTCATTGGAACTGTTAGGGAAGGATTAGAAAGTGTGACCTTGTTGAAGAAGTGTCACTAAGGGGTGGACTTTAAAGTGGCAAAAGACTCACACCATTCCTGGCTTGCTCTCTCTGCCTCATGGTTATCTGTCAATATGTGACCTCTTAGCTACTGCCCCAGAACCATGCTGCCCGCCTACTGCCATGCTTCCTACCATGATGGTCATGGACTCTAACCCTGAAACAGTAACCCAAATAAACTCTTTCTATGAGTTGTCTTGGTCATGATGTCTTATCACAGCAAAAGAAAAGTAATCAAGACACACAGTAAGAAGTCTCCCAGGCAATATTTAAGTTACAAATTCCTAAACATGACTGCTGAGCTCAGGCCCCTACAGGGATGGCTACTGCTTTTAATTTAGTTCCCAGACTCTACTCATACTTATACTAATTCAGTGGATGTGGATCATAAAAAAAAAATAATAATCACATCACTTTAAATCATACTGATTCAACAAAATTTTTAGCTGATACACCATCCGAAAAGCAGTGGTGGAATGAGCCTTTAATCCCCATACTTGGGAGGCAGAGGCATGCAGATCTCTGTGAGTTCATCCTGGTCTACAAAGCAAGTTCCAGGACATCTAGGGCTGTTACACTTTCGAAAAACGAAAGAAAGATAAAAATGAATGAAAAATACAATAAGAAAACAAAACAGCATTCATCCAACTAAGGACAAGCACCCCAGAATGTAAAGGAGTGCAACTCTGCATAACTTTGTGACCCTCATCTGGAACAACACAATGACTTTGGGTCCTGTTTAACTAACCTGCTTCTTAACTCATTCAAACTTTAATAACTAAATGCAAACATAATGTTTGTTGCTTGTTTACAAACAAACAAGTAGAGTGAAACCAAATAAAGTGATTTACAACAATAAAACCTGAAATGGTTAAGGAGCAGCAAGCAATAAATAACTAGGATTAAATGCTATCAATCCAAGACAATATCAAATGATAAATCTAGCTATAGATACATCTATGTATATTCCAAAGACCACATTAACTGAAATGGGAAGAACTTTATGTGATGAAGAAACTTAACTGTACTTGTTATATGACATTATCTGTCAGAACTCATTGAACATGCTCGTTTTAATGTATGATTTCTATTGTTTTATAAATATATTAAAATATATTTAGAAATGATCCCCAAATTTGATCTTGGCTATTAATATGACTCTACATGGAAAGAAGCGAATATTTGTAAAGACTCATTGTGGTGGTTTCAATGAAATGCCCTCCATTTTCTCAGGCATTTGAATATCTGGTTCCCAGTTGGTGGCACTATTTAGGGAGGTTGACGAAATGTGGCCTTGTTGGAGGAAGTTAGTTTAAAGACACTCTCCATTTCATGTTCCATCTCTCCACTTCCTGTTGATGGTATGAGATGTGAGCCCTCAGGCTCTAGCCTCCAGCTCCAGTGCCTGCTTGACTGCAGCCACAATTCCCTGCTGTGATGGAGATGGACTCTTATCTCTCTGGGAAGTGAGCATCAAATAAACCCTGCCTTCCATAGACTACTTGGTCAGGGTGTTTTATCACAGCAACAGAAAAGTAATAATACACTCAAAATAGGCCAGGCAGTGAGGGTTTTTTTGTTTTGGGTATGTACACATGGAAGTCAATCACCCTCCATCTTATTTTAGAGACAAGGTCTCTCACTGAACCTGAAATTCACTCTGTTACTGTTGTTTTTCCAGGAAGGCTGACTATAGTGATCTCCCAAGATTCACCTAACTCTGTCCATAGTGCTAAGGCTATAGATGTACACTACCCTTGGCTTTTTTGTGGGTAGTAGAGAGCAGAACTCATATCCTCTCTTTACCCATTAAACCATATTCCACAGCCTCAAGCTCTGCATATTAATTCTCAGAACTATCTTCTGAAGTAAAAATTACTCAACAGACTCTTACATTTAGAGAAATGTTGGGCAATAATTATAAACTCATCCACTTAGTAAGTGGCACTTAACAGTCAGCGTAGGTGTATCTGTAAAGCCGACATTTGACAACATCTTATGACTTCACAGAACTTTTTGTTAAAGCTTTTTCCCAATAAAACCATCTTATTTTTAAGCCAAACTGAACTGACTTTTAACTTTCCAAGACAAATATCAACTTAAAGCAAAGAAAAAAAAAGATCATAAATCTAAATATTCAATAATCTATCATTAGCCTAAATGATAGGTTAATTACTTTCCACAACAAAAGCTATTAAAATACTTAGGAGAATGGCAATGCACTTGCCTAAGTATGTATGAGAGTGTGGTTAAATCCACATCACCTAACAAATAAGTAAACAAATGAATAAGCACTAAAAACATACTTCTCATAAAGAAGATAAGCAATTCTACTGCACTACTCTTTTCAGTATCACACAGCTGCTAAGTGATAAAACTATCTGCAATACTCTTCAATGAGAGAATTCTGAGGGAATCCAGATGGTCCTTGAATTATGATGGCTTGACAATTTTCCAACTGTACCAGAATACAAAAATGGCATTCACTCAATAGAAACCATATTTTACATTTTGATTTCCTTGGTCCTGCTCCCCACAACCTTCCACTAGCAATATATAGTACAATACTTTTAAATGCTGGACAGAGGCAGTAGGCACAACTTTCCATCAGCCTGTTGGTCAGGAGTGTCAGTTCATTCCACCTGTACTGTGCTACAACAGAAAAATTTTTTCAACTCCTTGACAGGTTTACTGGGATATAATCCCATATTGAAAAGCATCTCCATTCCTATTGTTTTGAAGTTTAAGATTTATAATTCCACACCAAGTGGTTGAACCATTTGTCATTCTGCTAAAGATATCCCAAAGCTTAACATATTAAACTACTCAGCAAATAACCACATATTGTTATCAAAACCTTTAGTGATGCAATTTATACAAAACGCATATAAAAATATCCAAAAGATAGAAATATAAGAACCTGGTAAGAAATTGCCATACTCAAGATGAGGTGATGGCATACATTTTCTTAAAAGTACAAAATGGAGGAATGAAAGATAAAAAATAAATGTGAATGAATCTTCAGTGTTAATGAAAACTCATACATTATGCTTTTACTAACACTAAAATGTACTTACAGTTGTGAGAGCACTGGGGGATTATCACTGCAATGTTGAAATACTCGAAGCAAATCCCACAACGAAGCAAATCATCTATTGTCTGAAATATAAAAGCATGTCAGCAACAGCAGAATCAATACCTGGCACACAACTTTCCCTCTATTTCCCCTAAAATTAATTCCATAACACTTATTTGTGAGTTATATATATTCAAAACTCTAACTACAGGTAAACAACAACGTATCATGACAAATAGAGAAAAAAATGATGCCACAAATATTCAAATTTTCTGGGTTTGTGGCGCATATCTTTAATCCCAGAACTCAGGAGGCAGAGACAGGTGGATCTCTTCAAATCTGAGGCCAGCCTAGTCTACAGAGTAGACTCTTACATAGAGAAACCTTGTCTTGAAAAACCAAAATTAAATAAATAGAAATCAAAAACTTCAAACTTCAGGTCTGGACAGTTGGTGCTGCAGGTTCCTGTGCCATACTGCTGTTAGCCCTTCACGAAGGGCTCCCACATTCCTATTCTTCTCCCGTTTCTCTCTCTTCAGAACCCATTCTCTGGCATAAGGTCACCACTAGTGGAAGGTATCAACAATCAGTCTCCACACAGCTTAAGAACCAAGTTGGAGACTAGTAAAGCCAACCATTAAAACGTCTCTAGTAGGGTATGGTCACATGCACCTGTAATCCTAGACTTCGGAGGCTGAGGTAGGATTCTGAGACCGAAATTGCCATCCTCCTCATGGTAGTTCAATACCTTCTGCATGATACACCACAGCGCAGTTGAATGAGGAAGCCTTCAAAATAGCTAGCTACAATCAGTGTCAATTCAGACAACAAGCTAAACAGAACAGGATTTATTTTGCAACTTAAAATCTTTTAAACTGTTTAAGAAAGGTACCAATAGCCGGGCGCTGTGGCACACGCCTTTAATCCCAGCACTCGGGAGGCAGAGGCTCTGTGAGTTCGAGACCTGCCTGGACTACCAAGTGAGTTCCAGGACAGCCTCCAAAGCCACAGAGAAACCCTGTCTCGAAAAACCAAAAAAAAAAAAAAAAAAGAAAGGTACCAATAGTAACTATGGTAGGCTGCTTTATTCTCAAGAAATAAAGGTGTGGGAAGCTGAGGGGTTAGCTGAAGGGCGGAGTCTTTGTCTGGCATGGAAGTGGCCCTGGTTGCCATCCTGAGCTACAAACACACACACACACACACACACACACATTTTCCAGCACTTGGGAGGCAGAAAGGAGGATCTCTGAGTTCAAGACCAGTCTGATCTACATAGTTAGTTTCAGGACGGCCAGAACTATACAGTGAGACAGAAGAAGAAGAAGAGGAAGAGGAAGAGGAAGAGGAAGAGGAAGAAGAAGAAGAAGAAGAAGAAGAAGAAGAAGAAGAAGAAGAAGCAAAAGTAGAATGTATTCCAGAAGAAGAACAAGAACAAGAAAAATAAGAACAAGAACAAGAAGAACAAGAACAAGAACAAGAAAAATAAGAACAAGAACAAGAAGAACAAAAACAAGAAGCAAAAGCAGAATGTATTCCATAATTCCATATATGAAAAAAATCCTGAAAAGATACAACAAAGTGATAAATCATAGCTACTAAGATCAGGGAACTGGACAATGAGGGAAATGGCAGGAAGGAGATCTGTTTCATTTTATGTATTTCCTAAACCATATGAATCTATTACTTAAAAATTGTAGAGTCCGGCCTGGCAGTGGTAGCTGCAGTCCCAGCACTCAGGAGGCAGAGGCAGGCAGATCTCTGTGAGTTCTCAGCTAGCCTGGTCTACAGAGTGAGTTCCAGGACAGCCAAGGCTGTTACACAGAGAAACCCTGTCAAGATTAAAAAAAAAAAAAAATGTAAAGACCGAACAGATGGCTGAGCAGTGAAGAGCACCAGCTGCTCTTGCGGAAGACCTGGGTTGGATTCCTGGCACCCATACCATGGCTCACGACCATCTAGGATTCCAGTTCCTCTTCTGTCCTCTACAAGCACCAGGATGCACACAGAGCACAGACATGCACGCAGGCAAAATACTCAATGCACAAAATAAAATAACTGTTTAAAGAAATGTAAACATAAGCAAATACCATTATGGTGGCACCTATTTTTAAACCTAGCACTTCAGAGGCAGGAGCAGGAGGATCCAAAGCTAGATGCCAGCTTGGGCTAGGTAGCAAGCTCCAAGCCTGACTCAAAATCAAACACAAACAAACAAAAGATTGCCATTAACAATCCATATGTGAAATATTACATAGCTCTTAAAAGCCTGCTTGTCCTGAGCAGTGGTGGCAGACATCTTTAATTCCAGGGCTCGGAGGCTGAGGTCAAGGGAGTTCCAGAACAGCCAGGGATACACAGAGAAACCCTGTCATCTAAAACAAAACAAACAAAAAACCTGCTTGCAAAGATTAATCGTCACAGGGAAATGCATTGTATTTAAGAAAAGCAAGGGAAAAACCTACACTCAGGGGGCAGAGGCAGGAGAGCTACCCAATGATTCTTAGTCAAAAGACCAAAACCAAAAAATATCCACCCAAGTAAATGTTACTTAAATGAAATAATTCAGTGTGTAATAATTCCTTAAAATCAAAGGCTGAGTGCTAGACCTAGGTCCTGATCTCTGTTTTAAAAAGATGTGTGCCAGGGGATGGCCAGTGGCCCATGACTTTAAACCCGGTGCTCAGGATGCTTGAGCAGGTGGCTCTTTGAGTTGGAGACTAGCCTGGACTACTGACCAGGCAAGGGCTAGAGTAAGACGTTGTCTCATGAATTAATAAAATAAATAAAAGTCAAATAAAAGAGAATTGTGTCAGTATTGAGAAAGGCAGGGCACATCAGGGAGAAACCGGTTGCAAGTGTGCCAAGAACGAGGAGCACTTCTGAACCTTGGCGAGAAATGGAAAGCCATGGTAAGCAGATCCCCTGCTTTGCTGCTGGATTATAAAAATGTCATCCGATGCACGGTCCACCCAAATCTCGCGTGACGTCACTGATAACACAGGAAATCCTCGGAGGATGAGCTGTCACCATTGTTGACACTGCGTTACAGTGACTTTATCCTGACGACGAGGTGGTTGTGACAGAAACCCAGAGCATCGGGATCGTTAGGGCGGCCATCCCGGGCTCATCGCGTACGGCCGCAGCGTGTTCCCGGACCGTCTCGGGAGTTGGAAACTGAGGCGCGGCGTCGCGAGGCCGGCCAGGGTAGGGCCAGACCGAGGCGCGCGGCCGGGGCCGCCCCGCTGGCACCACTGCCGTCCGCACCCCGGCCTCCCTGGGACACTCACCTTCATCATCGCCAGCCCGGGAGGCCACCGCGGCTCCGCCAGGGCCTCCATGGTCGCACCTGACATGCCCGCCAGCTACCGGCCTGCCGCGTAGCTCCTATACTCGAAATTCCCCGCGCTACAGCATACGTCAGCAACGCGCGACGCGCTCGAGGCGAGCGCACAGCATGCTGGGAGCTGTAGTTAGCATGAGCGGTTTTTTGGAAGCCCGCAGGGGGAAATTGAGAATTCCAGGGCGCAACCTGGAGTGGTATAGTCCTTAGACTCTGGGAGACAAGCGGATGATTGGAAGATGGAGAGCAGTTTGTATGTGTCTTAGAAAATAAATAAAAAAGATTCCAGAAGGTGACCGATTATTAGGAAAAGTCAGGAACCAAATGAAGTCTTAAGCCTTGATAGATCTTTCAAAGTCTAGGCTCTTGTCTTCCCCACAGGTTGTACTGTCTTGTTATTGAGATCTGTCCTGCTCCTTGCAAACATCTAAAGTTACACTTCTGTCTCAACTCCGCTTTCTGTGAGAGATGGTGGCATCCACCAGAGCCACATGATCTAAATAGGAACTCTTGCTTTTTTAAGTCGGGGGACTGGGGGGGGGGACACGTCAAAAACAGTCTTATCCTCACTAAGCACGCGCTCTACCACTTACCTACCTACCTACACACACACACACACCTCTAAAATTTTAATTTAAAATTACTACTATTCTTCAGAAATAACCACTGTTAATACTGACAGTTCACAGATGTTTCCCATGCAGACTGACAAAGAGCTTCTCCTTGACCAAACTTAAGTTCGGCTCTTGAACCATCTCCTAGCCAATGTTCCTCATAAGGCCCAGTTTTGGCAAAGAGTAACTCAGTCAGTTTAGCAGGAACCTACATTCCTCATATCAAATCACTCCCGCTATGTGCTTGGTTCCTCATCCTCGTCCATCTCCTAGGTGATGCCTTCTCACCCTGACCTGTCTCCAGCAAGAATCCTCTTAGGCTGCTTTAACCAGAGCCCCATTCATCATCTAGATGTGGAATGGGACCAGCACATGACCAGCCTGACTGCTCAGCTCAGTATTCATCCTCTGCCTTCCTTGGGCCTCCTCTTCACTAAGTCTCAGGGGCCACAAGTTAGTCCGGCTGCCACCCAAGACAGAACCCTGCAGCTTGCTGTGTCACTGACACCCATGTTGCCCATGCATTCACTCGTGTAACATGTTTGTCTTGAAGGCTTACAATGGGCCAGACATGTGAGGTCTCCTGGGAAATAGGCAGAGGTTGTCATAAACACTTTACGAATGTGAAAACCGAGGCCCGACAGGTCAGGGCTCCGTTCTTTTGAGTTTTCTTCATCAAGGGACCTCTGCACTCTGAGCCAACAGATTTTTCTTAGCCTACACTCACATATGGATTGTGCAATGATGACATGAACAGCATTTAGACAATAGACTTTTATGTCTGTATTGCAGGTAAGTAGAAGCAGGGTTTGAACTCAGGCTGCCTGGCTTTTGAAAATATACCGACTACTACATCTTGTAAAAATCCAGTCAAAGCAGTTCTTCTCACTGACAGATATAAGAACAGAGTAACAGAACAGCAAAGTGATTCATCAACGTCACGTAATTTTGCCAGTGTCAACGCTCAGGCTTGATCCAGATTTTTAACTTAAACCCAAAGAGATTACCAGAGACACTTTATTGAGCAGACAAGCGCACACAGAGCAGCGTCAAGTCTGAGAATCCTAGACACTGGATAACAAGCCAGCACACAGAGAATAAGCGAGGTTTAAGTGCCTGGTGCATTTGTGCCATCCAACCAGAGAAGAGTGTTCAAATAAACTCTAGGTTGAGTTGAATGCTGTTGGATAGTTGTGGGTGCATCAGGAGCAGGTATCTGTGCAAAGGCAGGGCCATATGCTAAAACCAGTGTGCAGCAGTTATTCCTTTAGAGTCCTCGTTGGACACTGGGTAATTAAGCTGACAAATAGCTGGGGAATTAAAAAAAACGAGAAAAGAGGTAAGAATGGGGAAGGGAGGGAGGGAGATGGAGGAAGGAAGTGGGGAGGGGAGGGGTGAGGTGGCACTCCCTTCCCTGCAGAGCCTCAAGGCCAGGCCCTATGCCATTCATCTCTGAGGCCTTACTACCAGCCACTTGGTGAGATGGGATGAATCACCAGGGAGCTCACTTTCTTATGCTGTCTTTTCTTCCTGAGCTGAATGTTTCTCTCCTGTCCTCTTTAGCCGCAACCAGGAGCTAAACACTACTCCAGGTCACCTCTGGACCTGGGGAGGAAAGTTCAGGGTACAAGCAGGTTCCAGAAGGCCACCACGAGCTCCGAACCATCCACTGATGCCTCCAGCTTCCCTTTCCTTAAGCCTCAAGATCCATTCTTCTGTACCACGCTGCCATCTGCCTCTGAGAAGTCTGTCCTTCTTTTAGATCAATGAAGAGTTTGTTCTTCTTCATTAAGGAGCAAAAACAAAATGTTCTGAATTTACAAAGCAGACTAGAGTCAGCAGGATCTCCCTCAACACTTAGCACCAAGTGAAGAGCCAGGATAGAATAGCTCCATAAAAAACAGGTGCCCACTAAACTTGAATTTCAGATACACAGCAGATAACTTTGAAGTATAGTATTTCATAAACATTGCACACAACATACTTACACTTTTAAAAGCATTTCATGTTTATCTGAAGCTAATTTGTAACCTGTGTAACCTGGTCATCCTGTGCTTTTATTTGTCAAATCTGACGATTCTAATCAGAGCAAAGTCTTCCTAGCCAAGTGGGGGCCTGTCTTGGACTCACCCACTCACCCTTGATGTTTCATGGCCCTGGGCACCTGCCAAAAGCATCCTCGAATCTTGCATTCCTCTCTGCCCTCCATCCCCTCTCCTTCTAGGACCTGCTTCACTCTCTTAAAGGGCTAACCCTTCCTTCCTGTCTTCTTTCTCTCTCCCTTCCTTTCTTCCACTCTTGTTTTTATTGCTGTTTGTCTGTTTGTTTGCAGTACTAGTGATCAAACCCAAGGCCTTGAGTGAACTAGACAAGCACTTTACCACAGTGCTACATCCTCAGTCCCTCCACCCTCTCCCCCAACACACACACACACACACACACACACACACACACACACACACACACACACACACACACACACGCACACTTGAAGGTTTGGTTATTTTGCATCTGAGTGTCTGTCTGTGAACCACTTGAATGTCTGGTGTTTACAGAGGCTGAAAGAGGGCGCTGAACCCCATGGATCTGGAATTATAGACGGTTGTAAACTACCATAAAGATGCTGGAATTTGAATCTGGGTCCTCTGGAAGAGCAGTAAGTTCTCTTAACCACTGAGTCACCTTGTCTTGTTTTTAAGACAAGGTCTGGCTATGACACCCAGAGTATCTGCTTTTACTTCTCAAGTGCCAATGCTCCAAGCTGTTGGGCACTACAAGACCCAACCCCTCTATTCATTTTACTAAATGTTTCCAGCTCTGCCCCCCCTGCATCTTTGCCAGGGCATGAACTACAGAAGAGAACAAATCAGATGTGATCCCTAATCTTGAGGACCAGGGAATGAGAGTGGACAAGGATTACCAAAAAATAAAATAAAATAAAAAATAAAAAATAAAGTGAATGAACACGAATTTCCTAACATGGAAAATGGGTGTCAATACAATAAAAGCTGATGGTCCAATGGAAGATACCATGAATTAGATGACCTGAAAAGTCTCCTATAGAAGATAACACGTGCATAGTGACCCATTTTGGAAAAGACATAGCAGTCATATTAAAACCTAGGATGAGAAGTTCCTGGCCTTGGCAAGGTGCCTGGATTTCAGTGCATGCTCACTTGAGCAAATAGTTGAGCCTCTCTATGCCTCAGTTTTCTCTTTGTAAAATGAGTGGATCATAGAATTTGCTTGAATGGGACTTTTAAGATTTATGCTAATGAATTGCAATGGTATTTGGAATTCAAATGCAAATAGAACACAGAAAACATACATTATTTTATAATCTGAGTGATAGATATAACTAATTAACTACATTACTCCCTGCATTATTCTAAATTTTTGAAAATTTCCATCAAAATTACTAGTTACTGTCTGTCATTTTACAAGTGGCCACATGGGGGCAACAGAGTACTATGCAAGAGCAGTACTCAAACAGGCTGAAACAGATGGCCATTTATCCATAATTCATTTATATATTGTCTTTTCATTTAATTGATTTTAACGAGTTCTGAGTAAGTCCTGGGTCCTTTTTTGAACCTATAGAAGAAAAAGAATCAGGGCGTGGTGAGAACCACCTTTAATCCCATCCCTCAGGAAGCAGAAGCAGGCAGATCTCCAGGAGTTCAAGGCCAGCCACTGCTACATAATGAGACCCTGTCAAGAAAGCATAAAAAAGGAGAGGGGGGAAAAAGAAGGGAAAGAAGGATCCCCCTTCCTCATGCCTGCCTTCCTGAGGTCATGTGTGTAGTTTCTGGAAGACAGGAAGGGGGCTGTTACTAGGAGGTTTGGCCTGGATTTGCTCAAGTACTGGTGTAATAGAGATGTGGCCAGGCATTTTGGAGAGAAACAGATTATTCTGAGAAGCAGAGACAGCTGGTCACTTGTCCTGTGAGTGGACCTCCTGATGTCCAAGCATGGTTTCAGGAAAGTTACCCTGCCTCTCTGAACCTGGGGTTAAAAGTAGTTTGACTTTATAGCTTTCCTGCTGGGTGAGAACAAGACAGTCTGTGAGACTCTTTTAGAACAGTGCCTGCAGAATCTGGAGATATGGCCCAGGTTCAGTCCACAGCACCATGTGATGAGGTCTTACAACTCTCAGTAACTCCAGTCCCGGGTGATCTGATGCCCTTCTCTGGCCTCTGAGGGTACAAGACATTAACAAAATGCACTTACATACGTGCCGGCAATAAAATAAAAATTAACAAATAAATGAATAAAATTTTAAGTACCTGGTATTGTGGAGTCATCTTTTTGTATACTGTGAAGATGTGTCATCCTGATTGGTTTAATACAAAGCTTAACGACCAATAGCTAGGCAGGATTTCCAGGCACAGAGAATGCTGGGAAGAAGGGCGGAGTGGAAGGGAGACACCAGGGGTACAGAGCAAGCAGCATGGG